GGGGGGGGGGGTCAGGGCCCACGTCACCCCAGGATCCCAGCCTGGGCCTTGCTCTGGTCCCAAGGGGAAGGGGCTCAGCTGCCCCCCAGGCCAGCCAGTGGGAGGCGCCTGGAAGATACTCACCAGGTCAGGGTCTGCCCGTAAATCAGCTCCAGGACGTTGTGGGCGATGTCGAACTCGGGCTTCCCCCTCCTCAGCCTTTTCTCGGAGATGAGCCTGGGGCAGGGGAGCCTGGGGTCACTGGGCAGGGCCGATCCCGAGACCGACCCCGGTCCCCACCCCGGAAGGCAGGCGTCCCTGCCCCCCCACCTCGGGCACCCAGCCGATGTCTAGGGGAGACCACACCCTGGGGTCCCCGCCCTAAGTGGCTCCGAGCTAAGCTGGCTTCGTCGGGTCCTTTTCTAAGTGCACACCCAGGTGTAAACACGTGCAGCGGGCACCAAGCACTTTGCCTCTGTATTATCCTCAGACTCGCAGGTTCTCAGAGAAAACGCAGAAGTAAAGGCGCCCGGGCTCCTACCACCCTGGGCGGCCACCGTGTGTCTGTCTCCCTCCTGCCTGCTGCTGCTTCGCGCTAGACTGAGGGTGTGCCACACACAGCGCAATGAAACCCGCTTTCCTTGACAGCCTAAAGCCAGGCTCCATCCTGTCTCCTGTTTTCCCAGCTTAAAGACCCTTTACAGAAGCTGCTGGGCAGGAACCAGCGGCCTCCCTGGGAGGTCAGAGGCCTGCCAGCCTGCCAGGGGAGGCTGCTGAAGGGGGCAGCCCGGGAGCCCGGGAGCCCAGGGCGGAGGCCGGCCGCGCCCCGGGAGGGCCTCACCTCCACACCAGCTCCCCAAAGAACGTGTCCAGCAGCGTGAAGAGAAAGTCCAGCACCAGCAGGCGGTACAGCTCCTGGCCCACAAAGGTCTCCCAGCACTGAAACAGAGGGGGCTCAGCCCAGGCCCGCGCCCTGCCGCCCGCTGCCCAGCCCGTGGGGGCGCGGCTCCAGCCTGCCCGTGGACCAGGCCAGTCAGGTGAGGGCTGGCGGGGGGCTGCTGTGAGGGGCACCCCTGCATCCCACACCCGGGACCCGCGCGGCCCCTCAGCCTCCCCAGCACCGCCCGGGCCCCCTCTCACCTGGTCCTTTAGGGTGCCCACCCTGCGGCCCAGCCAGTGGTAGCAGAGAATCCCCAAGGTGACCATCTTGAGGATGAGGTTCCTGTGGAGGGCGAGGGGCACAGACTGAGGGAGGGGTGCCTGGCAGACAGAAGTCGCACCCCAGGAAGCCCCACCTGCCCCACCTGGCCACATACCTGCAGATGGCCACGTACACCTCCAGCACCGGGGAGTCGTGCCGCTCCAGGGCAGCCAGAGCTCGGAACAGGTAGGGGGCCCCCAGGTTGAGGAGGCAGACCACCAGGGGCAGGGCCAGCAGTGGCCCCTCCTGGTCAGCAGGCACAGGGCTCTGCTAGGGCAGAAGGGGGCTGTGGTCACCCCAGGTGCTCCCCCATGGGCAGGGGTCAGGTCCACCGACGGGCCCCTGGGGGTGGGGGGCTGGGGGACAGGGTCCCACAGTAGAAAGAGGGGGCAGAACTGGCAGATAGCACCCCCTTCCCCCAAGATACGTGCAGCCCAGGCTTCATGTTCAAACCACACAGGAAGGGGGATAGGCCACAAGTGTCAGAAAAAGAAAAGGGAACCAAGAAGAGAAAATAAAAACGGGAGAGTGAGACAGATGGGAGGGGTGGGGACTGAGGCCTGAGGGAGGCAGCCTCCAGGGAGGGGTTCTGGGCCCCTGGACCCCTGGGCCGGGTGCAGGGGACAGAGCCACAGCTGACTTCTGGCTGGGCAGGCGCCGGTCGCTGGGGACACATTCCAAAGCAGCGGGACTCTGACCCCGTGGCCGAGTCCCCAGGCTGCCCACCCCATCCCTTTACCTCGATCATGAACTCGGAGAAGGTGTAGACAGCCACGGTGCACCCCAGCGTGGTCCCCAGGCACAGCAGCCACACCAGCCCCCGCACGGCCGCCTGGCCCAGCCACCCGCACACACCCCGGGGGCCCCGCTGCAGCTGCCATTCGGCCAGCAGCTCCTGCAAGGCAGTGAGGGGTCACTCGCTCCAGGTCACAGCCACGTGGGGACGTGAAGACACAGGGACATCCAGGGAGGCTTAGGGAACTGGAGTCCCCCACCCCAAGGCCACCGCCTGTCCCTCCCCCAGCTCTGGGTCCTGTCTCCAGGCACAGAGAGCACAGAACTTGGGCCCAAGGCTGCCCTGCCCTCGACCCCCACCAGCCAGGCTGGGTGTCAGCCCGTTCCCACCCAATCTCCGGCATCCTGAGAGGCACCCCACCTCTCCCACCTGCCCTCTTCCCTCCCTCCCTCCCAGCCCTGCCCCCTGAGCTGTCCCTGGAGGTGGAGCCCCCAGTGGGAGCTCCTGAGGGCAGGAAGGCCCATTAGCCAGTCCTGCAGCACAAACCCCAGAAAGGCAGGGAAGTTTCCTCGAGGCCCAGCTCGGTCACCCTCTCACCCTTTGGCCTTGGGGAAGGTACAGAACCTCTGTGCCTCAGTTTCCTCACTTGTATCACGAGGAGATAGCATTCCCCACCCTAGGCTACTGTGGGAGCTGGGAGTGTGTCCCAGCAGGAGCCCTTCGGGCCTCTTCCCACCGGGGCCCGAAGATACAGGGACCCCAGGAGAGGCCCAGAGCAGATGCGACCCTGTCCCTCTGCAGCACCAGCCCCTAGGAGTGAGAACGGAGGGCAGGCTGACATCAAGGCCCCCGCCCCCCGGCCGTGGACGGAGACGGAGCAGGAGGACCGGTGCCGACGCGTCGAGCTGGGGAGCACCCGCTCGGTCCCTGACGGTGAGCAAGGCCCCCACCCCGACGTCCCGCCCACGGGCTGCTTGGCTCTAGCTGTTTGGTCCCAAATGGACCCGGCAGGTCTTGCAGAGCTGAGTGGGCCAGGACTGGGGTTCCGGGACTCGGGGTGGGGGCGGCAGCTCCAGGCCCCGGGGGGCTCACCTTCAGCCGGGTCCGGATGTTGTCATGCTGGAGGCGGGAGGCCCACTTCTGAGTCACCTTGTGGTCCCAGGAGCAGAAAACAGCAAGGGCGTGGGCGCCCAGGGTGCTGCCTACCCGGTAGCTCTCCCCAAAAGAGCGGGACATGCTGTGACCAACAAGGGGGGTGATGAGGGGCGAGGGAGCAGAGGCCGGGGAGAAAGCAGCAGGACACTCTCTGCAGCCCTCACTGGGAGGAGCCCTCCTGGCCATGGAGCAGCCCACTGCCCCCACCCCCAGCCCAGCTCTTGGCTGCCTGGCATGGCCTCTGGCCACCCTAGGCCAGCCCTGTCCAGGCACAGTGCCCACCAGCCACAAGGGGCTAGGAGAGGGGTCGGGCTCCACTCCCCGCGGACGTGGCCAGCGGCTCCTGTTCAGGCTCACCTCCGGGCCTTTGCACGGCCTCTCCCAATAACCAGAACACCTTCCTCTCCTGCCCTGCCCATTTTTACTGAACCTGCGCCTCTGAGGCAAGTGCCGCCTCCCCTAGGAAGCCAGCCTGACTCCTCCCCCGGCTCCATAACTCCTGGGCACACACCAGGCCTCCCGGATTTTCCCAGCCCCTCTGGTCTGTCTGCTGCCCTGCGCTAAGCACAGGGAGTGTTTGTGGGGGGGGTGG